TGGTGGAGGTGAGACGGAGGGCTTGCTGTGTCGGCTCGTACGTGAGTGTGCGTTGGCCGAATCCCCTCTCCGCCGTATCGGAACAGGTGTGTCTGCTGCAACTTTTCTTCGGCTGGCCCCCTCTTATGTGGCGCGCCAGGAGCTCTGCGGGGGCTCCCGTGTGGGGCTCCGGGAGGGCTCTGCGGAAGCAGGTGGCGGGAGCCCCCTCTACCCCGCCGACAGCGCCGACAGCGCATTCGGTCGGCGGGGCAGGAGAGGAAGGGTTTCGCAGCGAGCCACGCGACGTTACAGCTTCTCTTCCGCTTGTCACGGCACGCGGGCGGCTTCTCAGCCTCTCTAACACCTAACACCCATGTCTTTTTGCGCTCTCCTGCTCGCTCTTGCCTCTCCCTCTCTCTCTCTTAATTTTGCAGCTCTCTAGCTTGTTCTCGCTTTCTCGCTCGCTCTCGCTTTCTCGCTCGCTCTCGCTTTCTCGCTCGCACTCGCTGTCTCGCTCGCTCTCGCTTTCTCGCTCGCTCTTGCCCTCTCTCGTCTTTGCTCGCTTTTGCTCACTCTAGCTCTATCGCTCGCTCGCTCCCCCTCCCCCCTCTCTCTCGCTTGCTCTATCGCTCGCTCTGTCTCTCTATTGATTGTCTCTCTCAGACACGCGGTGGGTTTTCCTTTCCCATACGTGCCCAGCGCGTGTCACTTGCGCGCCGCTGAACCTCTTCAGTAAAGCTCCGTTAATCTCTCTCTGCGCGGACGGATCCCCTTTAATAATCCAGCCCGGACAAACATTCTATATTAACCTAACCGCCGCGAGCCTGGAGCAGGCAGCTCGCTGGAACCGCCCACCGCTAGCTGGAGACCAAGCTAGGGTTGGAAGCCCTGGAAAGTTTCCGGTAATATTACGAAAAATTTCCGGGAAAATAGACAATTTAAAAAAAAAAAAAAATACTATTTGAGATAGATATATAGATAGAGAGATAGAGAGAGAGAGAGAGATAGATAGATAGATAGATAGATAGATAGATAGATAGATAGATAGATAGATAGAAGGTATGAGTATCCTATGATAATTATTGCCGTCGGCACGGTACCTTGGACAGTAACTGCTGACAAGGAGAAGGGAATGTTCAGCCCAGAACCGCCCTGGAAAGTTTCCGGAAAAATTACCGAAAAATTTATTAATGTACAATTTTCAAAAAAAAAAAAAAATCCCAGACCCAGACAATAGAAATTTTCTGTTTTTTTTTTTCGGAAATCTTTGGAAATTTCGAAATTTTACAGAAACTTTCCAACCCGAGACAGAGCGGGCGCGCACTACTCGTACAGTACAATAAGGCATGGCGGTGTAACGGCAGCTCAACTGAGATAACAGACATGGAATGAGCCGCAGCTGGAGATATGGCGTCGCGTGTCTTCTCATGTCCTGGAATCGTATCTAATATCGCGCCGGCCAGGACGCGGCAATTTCGGAGCAGCTGCGAGATTGCGAAATTCTTTTTGCAGAAATGTGCGAGTTTTCATAAGGTCTTGCGTACCGGGGTGTTTCATACAGATGCGGGTGGGTTTGCCTACCCGACGGTCTGCAAAGTTACGGTACATCCTGTATACAGGATGTACCGTATACAGATTGGAGCGTATCCAAAATTACACAATTTGACAGGGCGCATTGTATAAATTTCCTACACTGAAAAATAGTAGGAAGGTTTACAGGAATATTTTCCTTGACGCAAAATTACAATTTGAAATCGAAAAAATACATATAGTACGTATCGACTTCAAATCCATTGGCGAGTAAACGATGTGCTCTCATAAATTTACGACTTAAATTACAATTTTATTTTACAATTTTTTTTTGTAAATTTACAACGAAATTTTTTTAACAGTG